AGTGCCACCCAAAAGTAATAAAGGAGGTCAGAATTGCTTCCATTGTGGAGGGACAGCAAAACCCCCATTTTTTATAAACTCCCATTAATGCCAGAAGCAGAAGCGGGCCATAAAAATTCTTAGCTTAAGGCAAACACAAATGCCTCGGGTAAAGCCTTGCCTGACCTTGTAAAGTAAGGAATTAACTAGTGTCTACATGACACAGAGGGAGTAAAGGCGGGCGAAGTAGCCAGCCCGTCAGAATCTGACCCACATGACTGATCCCCCGACCCACCAACTATGATCTCAATCCCCCTGCCCCAACAGGGCACCCAAAGAAAGCTATAAAAGCAACTGTGAGGGGGGGACTCGGGGCTTTTTCCCCTCGCCACCATCTTATGGAGGGAGAAAGTCTCCACATGTGGAATTTAATAAACGCCCTTGTAATTACATGTGTGTGATTGGATTTCATTTTAGGGGCATTCCGTGGGCAGAACAGAAAGCTGGGCCACTTCAGTAGACAGTGTCACAGACGAGAGCCACAGATAGGCAGGGGAGTAGAGAAGAAACTCCCACTCACTTGCTTTAAGTGTGGATCTGAAGGACACTTGGCCAAGGGTGGCTCACATCAGGTCCTCATGACTGACAGGACTGACAAGCCCCAGCTCTCAGCTGGAAACAAAGGAGGACGCACTTCAACGATTTAGATCCTCCCAGAAAAGCTATGAGTGAGCACTAACATTACTGGTAAGTATATTTGTTTTCTTCTGGACACAAGAGCCTACTATTTGGTTCTAAACGCCTTCTGAGGTACCAACTCTTCTCACTATTTCTTAGTTGTTGGAATTGACTGATGGAAAACTTCATAAGCAGTTCCTTACTTCACCTCTGTCTTGCATGCGGACTTCCGAGCTGTAAAACAACCCAGTGATAGATGGAATTTGCTCCAGGACTTAAGAACAATAAATGACATAGTTGAGGCTCTACATCTTGTGGTTCCTAACCTTTATACTATAATAGACAAGTGCTAGTCA